AACGACACACACAGCATTTCGAGAAGCAAACATTAATATTTGTTCAATTCATATAAATTGGTTTGGCACATTCCCTGCTCACATGGTATATTACAGCAACAGATCATTTCCAGGACTGACAGTACACAATATTCTACATGACAGTAAAACTCTTATCTATTAACATGGACACATGACCCTGGCAGGAAGAGCCTCCTCTCAGTCTATTCATGGAATGGGTGGGAACGGAAAGGAAAGTTTTAAAGGGTTAGAAAGGGGAGAGAGAATGACAAGAATAAATCTTGTTAAAGAACAATAAAAAAAATACCTGCTGTCCATTTTTATATAGTAACAAACCTACCCAAATACATTTTGAATACAGTTCAAAACTTTTGTGCAAAGTAACTTCTCATCTGTTACGTAAATATTTTTGGTCAGAAAAATAATCATGTCATTAACGTTCTAATTATCCATCTTTCATGGAAAAGTAAAAAAAAAATCTGATGAGTCTTATAAACTAGCAAATTTATAACACTAATTTCTAAACATATATAAATGAATATCTATCCCAGTATAGTACAAGAATCAGTAAGCATGACAGGTGCATCGTCGCCATATGGGCGGGCGGAATTAACCCCACTTACCTTACCCAATAAGACTCTGACACTAAAGGTATATGGGTCAATTTGTCCACAGCTTTTAATAATAATAATAATAATAATACATTAACATTGAATGTTGTCATTGCCCTCCTCCCCGCCATACCACATTCGTATCCCCCAAACTTATAAAGGCAGTGGGCCATATCTGTAAAACATAGACATATACCACAATTTTACCAACATGAACATAGATAAGTAAAGTGACAATGTCTTTAATAACCATGGTAGGGGTATAACTGGATACCCCTATGCCCATCAGGTTCTGAGCCACCGACATGCTCAAAACCTAGCAAACTTACCAGGAACCATGTTAACCGCTTCTTAACCAACATTAAGAAGAGCCTATTTTTCTAACCTTCAGCTCACTCTCCTGCCGCGGTGACAAAATGGGATAACCCAGGTAGGGATGGGAGGGACAAACTCAGCCAGGTAGATAGATTAAACATGATTAATCTAAGATGGCTGCCTATTTTTATAGCTCAGCCCCATAACGAATAATTTTCAAATCCATGCATACCTTCCGCTTAAGCGGAATTTAAAGCAGCTCACTCAGTGCTGTTAGGGGGTGAGCTTTGTGCATACAATGATAAGGAAGTCTTTTTGGCGCGAGGTTGCTTGGCTTAGGAGGTATTTTAATACTACAGCATTCTGCAAAGCTTTTAAATTTTTCAAAAACTACAAAAGTTGAGCGTACAAAAACTATGGCATAATAATAAGTTTAAATCTTATCATATGCATTAAAGCAATATTGGTGCCAACTGTATCCATTTAATATCTACTCATGTGTGATCTAGTAGGTGGTATGATCCCAATATGGTTATCACAGTGTGATACAGGTTTTAGACTTGGAGATTTGCTATGTACCAAACTGCAATTCAATGTGCCAATCGGGTGATCAGCTAAAATTCTGATTTCCAAACAACATGCCAGGATCCCAGAACGAACAACTTGCACAAACATGTTCATTTTGATTCATGATTTGAACTGCCATTCCATAAAAAAAGGGGGATGAAATGGAGAAGTGAATTTTTAGAGGGTGGATGCAAATAACAAGTTTAGTTTTCCATAATAGACAAACATCTGCTTAATGTGGGCTGATTTTAATCCGGACACCACATGCATTCAGTTGATTTCTTCAAATTCTCTCGGGCTGACCGAATTATGACTGCATTTTGCTTTAGTAAATATGAGTATTGCCACTTGGGTTGGAACTCGTCATTTTCACCGGATTTTTTCTATCTGGACACAATTCAGTCTTTAGTAAATAACCCTGTATGTTACTGTGGCGGCCACCCTGAGAGAGGAGGGGTTTCCGCCACCAGAGATGTCCTTTCCCCCAGTACAAGTAATGCTGTAGTATTCCCAAGCAGTAATCCAAGCAGTAATAAAGCAGGTATAGCTGTTCCCTACAATCACGAGACGAGGCTCTATGTTGAGGGTGAAGTTGAACTGCTTTAATGGCAGCCACAACTGGCCTTATATGCAGGTCCCCATACAAGGGGTTTCTTATTACATATCCCAGGGGCATTCCCCAGTGGACCTAAGTCAAAGTGCACACATAATTACATTAACTCTCAGGTCCAGGATATACATAACCAAAAACACCCCAAAATACATATTTAACAAAAAAGTACCCCTCAAGTTCTATATCCCCGGATAGTCTGGATCTCAGCTCCCAACATATCCAGAAAGCACTCAGATCCCATGAACACAGCCAAAACGCACCCGGGATATAGTTTAGACAGACCACACACGAGGCACCTGCCCAAAAGAGTTACATGAATTCAGGTGGAGCGGTCAGTCTCTTTTGAGAGTAAAAAGCACAGTTAAATACAGAAGGTAACGTTCATGTGTAAGTTAGTCGAGTGCCCCTCGTTCGTGAGTTTGTTCCCACCGAACGCCGCTCTTCTCAGTAGAATGGAACCGAACATCCACGGAGGTGGAAGACCCAGCTGTGCTCACACCATTGAGTGCCTGATAATAGTTCTATACACTCGATGACCAAACAGTACTGTAGGCGTTTGCAAAACCAAGATTGCCACCACCTCGTGTTCGTCCATACGAACTGCAGACACCCAGCCGACTGCTTAGAATTAGTTAGGTTAATTGCATTTTGTGAAGGTGTGAATGAGGTCAACTAAGTCAATAAGCGGCACTCAACTGTTTTGGGTGGTCTGTCCTTTGGGTACTTTGGTATACGAACCAAATGGGGCAATCTGTTCGGTGGTGTTCGTATAACGGATCATTCAATGTAAGACAATAATTCAGGGACAGGGGGATCTGTCACAGCTACCAATTTAGAGTTTCTAAAAGTTATTTTGCTTCTTTTTTTTGTTAAATGTTTGCAGAAATAATCCTTTTTTGGGCAGTGTGTTTTTCAGTAAAAAGCTAAAGAAAAATATGTTTCTCTTGCCACAGCTACTGCTTACCATTTTTTTGCTGAAACACCTATTTTTGAGAGTTGTCATGTCCAGTGGGCATAACTGATTGTTCCTTGTAAAAACATTGTCAATGAATAGATTGTTTGTAGTTAAGATTAGAAAATAAAAAATGATGTCTTAATGTTAATTTAATAACATTGATGTAAGCTTTTTTTCTTATATTCTTTGTAATAATAATCTCAATAAAGAATTGAAAATATATATATATTGTCAATGAATGAGGTGTGTAGTCATTTTTAAAATATGGTTAACAAATGTGATGTATGTTGTGGAAAGACTTTAATGGTGACTCCTGTAGATTACATAATCTACATTATTTATCTTACATAATTTATTTTTTAGAAAAGAATGGAATAATTTCTGATTCTGATTCAAACAAATTAAATCAAGGTCATTGATCATACACTTTAAAATGAAAATTCTGGTACTTTTGAATCTTATTAGCTGTTTAAAGTTTCCGTATGCACTTTGTTTAATAAGTCTTGCAGTCAATTCCATAAATCTATCCATTCCTTTAACAGCAAGTTTTCATAAGCTTACCTCTGAATTTCAACATTTGGGCCAGAGTAGCTGAAACACAATTCCAATAGATCCCTGTATTTTATAGTTTTAAAAAAATGTTCACAGATGTTACGCTTGCCTCTTTACCAGTCTAAATGTATTCAACTGCTACATTTATATTCAGTATGAGTTATTTTACTATATAATTATTTCCTTTTGAAAATGCATATTATAATTTAGGAGTCTTAAAAAATATTTTTATTAACTATTTTTTTAATAAATGTTTAAGTATAGAGATGGGATACAGAAATGAAAAAGACGAGCATTGACACAATAGGGGAAGCTTCAAGTCTCATGTGTACAGACTTTAATGATACATACGGTACTTCTGAATGTCCATAGTGGGGTCAAGGCTGGTGCAAGGATTTTTCACTACACTGGTGAAGACGCATTTAGCATTATGGAAGATGTAGTCTGACATAGAAACATAGAACGTGACAGCAGATAAGAACCATTCGGCCCATCAAGTCTGCCCAATTTTCAAAATACTTTTAATTAGTCCCTGGCCTTATCCTTTAGCTAGGATAGCCTTATAACAGAAAAATAATGGGTCAGCGCTAAAAAGTCAGTAGAAGCTAAGAACAAATGGGGAAGCAGCAACCTATAGTATTGAGGTTCCCTCTCGTATCCTCAAATAAATGGACGGACCAAAAAAAGGAATATATAGGTTACGCTATATGATAATAAACGAAAAAGTAAATGGAGTGAGACAAATATATAAATAAACAGGAAAAATAATCCCAGTGCTAAAAAATCTTTAATAAAACCTGTAAAAGTGCTTGAGTATAGAAAGAGTCGAGTAGGTAGCTGGGTATTCTTATGTTGAAGGTATCTCAGTTCGATAGAGGGTGTATGAACATGTAAGAGAAACAGAGAAACTCCAATAGTGCAGATTGCAAATCGACAAATTGGTAGATAAAAAATTCTCACAGCAAATGATCCACTCACCTATTTCTGAGCATAAACTAGCTCAAGTGATAATAGCATCCAGTGGCGTTGATCCTCCACTGGTAGGATATAGGTGGTGAAGATATGATGAGCTCCTCGGTATATAGAGAGATGAAAAAACAATATAGTGCTCACTGAATTAATGAAAAGGTAAAAAAGTAAAAGCGGTAAAATACTCGCACATATATAAGCAGGATATACTGCTCAATATAATGGCATAGGTGGTATTATCCCCACCTAGGATTCTTGGGCAAATGCGTGCGCCGATGTAGCAGGTACCAGGTATCAAATAAAAAGTAAAATAATATAATGAAAAGGTATATAAAGGCTGATAAAAGAGCCAATATTCCTTTATTAATAATAACAGAATAAATATATCTATAACAAATAGAAAAACAGCCAAAACGCGTTTCGCCTCACAGGGCTTTCTCAACTGGCAATAGAAAGGTTAAAAAATAAATAGTTTCTATTGCCAGTTGAGAAAGCCCTGTGAGGCAAAACGCGTTTTGGCTGTTTTAATATTTGTTATTGATATATTTATTCTGTTATTATTAATAAAGGAATATTGGCTCTTTTATTAGGATAGCCTTATGCCTATCCCACACATGCTTAAACTCCCTCACTGTGTTCCACTTCAGCTGGAAGGCTATTCCATGCGTCCGCTAGCCTCTCTGTAAAGTAATACTTCCTGAAATTATTTTTAAAACTTTGTCCCTTTAAGACTATGTCCTCTTGAGAACTTCCGGTCAGACTGAGTAGTAGGAAGATTCTTGATCATGGTCCAGATGGTCAGATTGCATCTAGAGCCTCAGAGGAGCTCTGTGAGCCGCATTCCTGCCGTGCCTTTTAATATTGTACTCCCTAAGCTGGTGAACCCTATCGTGACGCATTTTGGTAGCTTTGACCCAGAGTGAGAACCTGTAGAATTCTCTAGGTCTGGTAAGTAAGTTAAAAATCTAAAGAAAAATATAAGTGAGTGACAAGATGACAACAGCTAACACAAGAGATGCTCACCCATCCACAATATGGGGTATTCCAAATAAGGTATACTTATAGAAAGAGAAAAATAAAATATAGTGTAACACTGTGGATATGTGAAAATAATGTGTTCAATTAAAATTGACATACTCGCATGGGATAGAGTCTTATATGAATAAGTTTAAATCACAATGCCTTATGTGTCTTAAGCTGACATTCTACCTCTTCCTCAGAAGATGGTATCTCAGCAAAAACAAAGCAGAATATAATTAGTGGTGCAGTATCATAAACAATGTTAGCAATACATACAAATACATATAAAGCAGACCTTATAGAACCCAAAAGGCTTGACTCAAGGTATGTTCTGAAATATGTTATACCATCCAGCAGCTTTTTCAGCCTAATTACTTTATCATTTTTATTTTGCTGTTTGGATTAATATATCCTTTTAATTATCAATACATTTATTTTAATTTCAAAGTCCTTGCAATACTCTTTTAAACGTGGTCCAAAAATACAAGGGGTGGTGCCACCCTTACTGACATATATGTTGCCACCCCTACTTGCCTTTCTCTGTGATGAAGTGCTGGTAGACACAAAACACATCCCCTCTATATGTCCTAGCCACATGTCCTTTTCATTGGAATAAATGTAGGTTACCCTGATCTTTGGATAAAGGTGTCTTATTTCTTCTGTATGGAGAATAGATACTATGTGACATGACATCAAATCAGTCACACAATTCGCAAGTCTGTCTTTTGTATAAATTATTTTTTTTGTTTTTTCTATGTTAATACTATTTAAAATCTTGTTGCGTATTAATAAATATAGAACCATAAAACTGCAGATTAGTTTAATAACTAACAAATATAAGCATAAACCCTGATTCAGCCTGCCTACTCTTGGCAATACTAGCACAAAATAAAGTTTGAATAGACAATTAATTTCATGTGTTTCATTTAGAGCTATTATCCAGGGCACATTACGCAGTTTAGTAATTACACAACAATACGCTTATTAATTATATAGATATTAAAGGGCACATTTACGAATTTAGAATCAGGAAAAATCATACTATTAGAAACTTGAAGAAGGGCAAGGCTGCTCTGTTGTATAATGCCATTTTTGATAGCGAGAGCTGTCACAGATATCTACTATGAAGCCACTTTTAAAATAAGTCTTCATTGATCATAAATAAAAGAACATTGTTTAGTAAATATTCTCCAATTAACTAATGCATTGGTTAATTATGCATTTTTTCATTGGTGCTATATTTAAATCCAACTTGCAAAAGCTGCAGATCTCTTGTCTGCAGTCTTTGCAAGACCTCTCTTTCTTACTCCCCTAACCTTCTGTGGCTGTCCAATCCCAGACTTTCCAATGCAGCTCAATTGAAGATTATGATAGCTTTAGTGTACTAATAATCTTAATTTTAATAATGACAGGAGGTGAATATTTTGCATTAACTTCCTCTACTACTCCAATAGCAGCAAAGAACATAGAAAACAAATGACCAATAAGAGATAAGCATAATATATAACAAGCCCCTCCCACTGAGGCAAATTAATCATAAATCCGAACCAGGAAACGTCCAACAATTTCTAACGAGTAAGGATAGTCCTGCTGTCATTATTAAAAATAAGATTATTAGTACACTAAAGCTAGCATATTCTTCACTTTTACCACATGACAGGAGGCTTTATATTTAGAAAATTTAACGCAACTGTAACAGGGGGAGGATGACGAAAGTAAAAGGTTTGAAAGTGGATTTCTGCGACCAATCTGCTGCTGCTAAAATGTCCGACAAGGAGGACTCATGGCAAAGGCGGATGGCGCCGCCGCCGCACCCCGAACTGAATGTGTTCAATACCAGATAAAGATAAAAGCCACCTCACCCATTGTGATAAGGTGGTAACTGAAACCTGACCATGTGGCTTAACATAAGAGATTAACAGTTGATGAGAGGTTCTAGGCCATATCATGGTTGTAGCCCCTAAATAAGCACGTAGAGTTTGTACCACACAGATCTGGGGTTCCGATGGAAAAAAGGGCTAGAAAACCAACGTCGAGTTTGATTTCGGACATGTCGATACCGGAATCTGATGCCCTCCAGAGAAAAAGAAAAGGCATCCGCATCAAAAGCCCAAACATCCGAAACCCGACTGAAGGAAACTAGACAAAGAAGGAGAGTCAATTTGGCTGACAGTTGTCTCAGTGACAGGTTATTGTAGGACTATTGTAGGACTTGGACTACATCCTAAAGGGTGGAGTACTTCGGGGCTGGTGGTCTTCGCAGCCGTATGCCCCGAAGTAGGCGACAAATCAGAGGGCCTTGACCTATATGTTTCCCTTGGACTGGTGTATGAGTTGCTGATATCGCTGAGCGAACAACTTTAATAAAGTGGTAAGACTTACCTTCCAAAAACCATTATACCAGAAAATTCAACATAGAGGAGACAGAGACCATAAAGGGATCGAGATTCCATCCCACACACCAATTAGAGCATGAGAGCCAGGCCGAGAGGTAACATTTCCTAGTTCCTGGAGCCCACGACTCCCAGAAGATGTCTCTAGCCTCTGCCGATAAGTCCTCGGTGCACCATGAACATCTGAAAGAGTCCAGGCTACCAAAGATAGGCATCCATCTTGGAGCATCAGATGTGGGTTCCCCAAGGGATCTCTGAGCAGCATCCATTCATCTGGCAGGAGGAGAGGGGCCTTGCATGACAGTGCGAGAAGGTTCGGGAACCATGGTTGACTCGGCCATAGAGGTGTCAACAGGAGAACCGTCACTTCTTGAATCTTGATGTGGTGGAGTACTCTTGCAATCATAGCAAGGGGCGGGAAGGCGTACACCCCTCTGGCTGGCCAATTCTGCAGGAATGCGTCCACCGCTGAACTCTCTGGATCCGCTAACTAACTGCAGAAAGTTGGCAGTTGGTGGTTAGTGCGAGACGCAATAAGGTCTACCTCGAATGGACCTCTCCATTCGTTTAGCTCTGCAAATATGCATAGATCCAATTGCCAGTCGCTGCTGTCCCACCAATGCCGGGAGAACCAATCTGCAGTCAGGTTAATATCCAAGTAGATGTTCCACAATCAATGTTATGTTGCGCGGAAGTATTTCCTTCATGAGATCTGCCAATGTTTGGAGCGGGTGCCTCTTAGATGGTTGATATATCGAACTACAGGGATGTTGCCCATGTGCAGTAGGATGCAGCAATCGGTTTTGCCTTTCATTAGACTCCAAATTGCGAACGTGCCTGACAACAATTCCAGGGAAATGATATGGAGAGCGAATTCCTCCATCATCCATACTCCATCTGTGGCTAATTGTCCATCGGTGGCGCCCCAACCCCATCGGCCATTTCCAGTCCGAAATCCGGACGTGTGCCAAAGATGGCCCGTCCATTCCAGGCTTGCATGCAATCGAGCCACCATCGAAGTTCCTGTCGGACTTCTTCCATCATGGGGATGGGTTAATCACAGGTGGGATTTCATCTGAAGAAATGTGCTTACTGGCATTGCATGGCGTGATAATGCAGTGGGCCCGGTAAAATTACCTGAATGGAGGAAGATAGGAAACCCACAATCCATGCAAATCTCCTTTCCGATTGCTGAGACCTTCATTGTTGGAAGTGGAAGTTTACAGGACCTTGAGTTGATGTCAAAGCCCAGGAATTGTACACATTGAGCCGGAGTCATTGCTGATTTTGTGCAGTTTATGATGAAACCCAGGGATTCGAACACTTTGACAGTATATGCCGTCTGGGACATTAGTTGTTGTCATATCTGACCGAACAGAAGTATACCATCTAGATCCATTATGCATTGGATGCCCAATCCCTGAAGGTGGGCCATCACTGGTTTCACAATCTTTGTAAAGCACGGTGCTGAGCTTAGTCCAAATGGAAGGCATATGAATTGCCAAGGTGTTCCTTTCCAGAGGAAGCTCAGAAACGGACGACTTTCGTCGTGTACTGGGACGGACAAGTATGCGTCCTTGAGATCCAGGTGGGTGAACCAATCTCCTTCTTGGAGGAGATCTTGTAAAAGGTGTATGCCTTTCAAATCGAAATGATGGTAAGTGATGTGTACATTTTAACCCCCACAGATTGATTACCGGACGGTACTCTCCCGTCTTTTTCCGCTCAAGGAACATATTGCTGAAGAAACCTCCCGCGTAGCCGGTTGTATGGCCCCTTTTTCACATAGATCCATTAGTTTGAGGTCTATAAGCCTGGCGTCCTGCCTTGTGAAGTAGAGGCTTGAGTCGGAGTGACTTCGAACTCTATGCAATAGCATCACACTGTTTGTAGAACCCATGCATCGTTCATAGTTCTACCCAGTTCTGGAAAAAATACAAAAGGCGACCCGCTGGGGGTGCCATAGTTAAGACAGAAGGTATTATGGTTAAGTAATGGTGTCTTACCTGTCATGAAGTGTCCATGAGCACGTCCACGGCCTCCGTGGCCCCTGTTTGAGTAGTGGAACTGTTGATGTCTGCCAACTTCCGGGTAGAATTGTTGTGTCCGTGGATATCGGGGGCCTGATGGCTAAAATTGGCTGGTGTCATGACCCCTCTGCCGACCAGCCCTGCCAAAAACCCCTTGTGGGGTACAGCCTCTAAATACTCTGCGAATTGATGCTTGTGCCTTGTTTATTGACGTGAACACTTTCACTTGTTTGTTCAGCTCCTTAATTAAAGGTTCGCCAAACAATTTCTCGCATGCCTGTGGGCCCAATTCTTTGGCCCCAAGATCCACCAGTTTACTATCGATTCTAAAGAGTGCTGCTTGGCATCTCTCTGATGAGAGGGCCACGTTGGTGTTGCCCAAGAAGTAGAAACATCTTTGGGCCCACTCACTGACATCATGTGCACAGTCGTGTACCATGTCTGCCATGAAGGTGTCTGCCTGTGCATAGGCTTGATCGGCAAGCGTCAACACGTGAGCCAGTGGCCCCAAAAGCATCTAGCAGCTTATCTTGGGCTCCTTTAACCCCTTAAGGACACATGACATGTGTGACATGTCTTGATTCCCTTTTATTCCAGAAGTTTGGTCCTTAAGGGGTTAAAGACTTTTTTGACCCCCTTCTTGGGGTCTCTGCCCCCTTTCGCCACAAAGGCCAGCATGAGTTGGTCGAACTCAGCGGTGAGTGCAACTTGATCCGGCAACGAAGGTCGGGCGCAATCTCTTGCAGACATATTTGTCCAAGGTCTTTCTCAACCAAAAGTGCATAAACTTTGTGAGGTGAGGTGGCAGTGTCCAACCTACTGAACACAGATGGTGGATGTTCCTCAGGCCAAAACGTCATAGAAATGCTCATTATCTGGCTTTTCTGTGGCCTCCACCTCATCTACGTCCTCTTGTTGCTGGGGCTCACCCGGAAATGTCTCCTTAACGAAGGAGTTTTGACCCCATGTCTTAGCTAATGCCTCTCAACCGAAGCGGCCACTGCTGCGTTAATAAGGGCCTGCAGGTCTGATGGCATTTGGGACTCTTCCACAATAATATGACACACTTGGGGTTTACCCAAATTAACAGTAAACTGTGAGGTGGATAGGCACATTGCGGTAAATAGTCAGTAGGGACCACCAGGGGGTTATAATGGCCAATCATATATATGGCCCACATATAGGCAGAAAAATTCACCCAGAAATAAAGGAGACTGTTTAAACAGCTCCACTCGGCAGCGCCAGTAAAAAGGGGGGCTCATCCCAAGCTGGAGTACTAGGTAATAAACCTGACTGGCTGACCCCTCTTAAGGTTAGCACTAACCTGTAGCAGATTCCTGAGACAGGCATTAAATGATAGGCAGATTGCTGAAGAAATTTTTATGACAGCACTGGGTGAATACGTCCACACAATAGAAAACTCCTATACACACTCATGGTTTAAAATGGGCGCTGGGACTCTTGCGATGGGAAATCCAAGATGGCCATTGAAAAGCCTGCGAATCTGCCGTAAAAAAACCCCAGAAAAAAAACGTGAACAGCGTGAAGCCACGAATGCCGTAGTTCATTAACAACCTTCGTGTTGAAGATACAAACCCAATGGGAAAAATCCACCAAACGCATATGACTTCGCATTCGGTAAGTAAAGCGTGAGTGATAGGCGAACGCTGGTGCCCTCGAACAACCGTGTGTTAGCGGGAAAACCAGCAAACACGAAGGAGGGAAATTCACCGAACGTATAACGAAATGTACTGCGGTTGAAACGGCCCGAACAGGCTAATGTTGCCACATGAACGCGTGTGACATGCAAACGCCTAACGGGCATGAAAGCCTCACAGGCACTTTATGCTCACCGTTGTGGGTGTGCTGTGCCTCGAGGACTTTCCAAAGTGCCGAGCATAGTCACAGAGGGGCGGGAATATATGAGGTGGCAGTGTCCAACCTACTGAACGCTGATGGCTAATGTTCCTCGGGTCGAAACGTCATAGAAATGCTCATTATCTGGCTGTTCTGTGGCCTCCGCCTCATCTACATCCTCTTGTTGCTGGAGCTCACCCGGAAATGTCTCCTTAACGAAGGAGTTGTGACCCTATGTCTTGGCTAATGCCTTCTCAACCGAAGCGGCCACTGCAGCATTAATAAGGGCCTGCAGGTCTGATGGCATTTGGGACTCTTCCACAGTAATATGACACACTTGGGGTTTACCCAAATTAACAGTAAACTGTGAGGTGGATAGGCACATTGCGGTAAATAGTCAGTAGGGACCACCAGGGGGTTATAATGGCCAATAATATATATGGCCCACATATAGGCAGTCAAGTTATGGAGCTCACCCAGAAATAAAGGAGACTGTGTAAACAGCTCCACTCAGCAGCGCCAGTAAAAAGGGGAGCTCATCCCAAGCTGGAGTACTAGGTAATAAACTTAACTGGTTGACCCCTCTTAAGGTTAGCACTAGTGATGTCCCGAACGGTTCGCTGGCGAATAGTTCCCGGCGAACATAGCGTGTTCGCATTCGCTACGGACGGCGCACATATGTGATGTTCAGTCCGCCCCCTATTAATTTACTAATACTAAGTAAAAATTACTTAGTATCAGTAAATTGTGCCCCTACTCGCAATACCGCGAGTAGGGGAATGTCTATTAAACAGTGAGCAGCCTGTGGCTGCTCACTGTTTTAAAAAAAAGGGACCCCCCCGGTGGGGGCCCTAAATACTAATAGGGGGGGGACCTATTGTCCTCCCCCCGGCCCCCACCCCTGAGCGGTGGGTGGGGGCCCTAAAATTAACAATAAGGGGGACCTACTGTCCCCCCCTGGCCCCCACCCCTGAGCGGTGGGTGGGGGCCCTAATAACAATAAGGGGGGGACCTATTGTCCCCCCCAGCCCCCACCCCTGAGCGGTGGGTGGGGGCCCTAAAATTAACAATAAGGGGGGGACCTATTGTCCCCATTACCCTGGCCGGTGGGTGGGGGCCTAAAATTAACAATCAGGGGGACTGTGTCCCCCCATTACCCTGGCGGTGGGTGAGGCTAAAATTAACAATAAGGAGACTGTCCCCGGCCCTAGGCGGTGGGTGAGGGGCCCCTAAAATGTGCTAATAAGGGGACCTGTCCCCCAGCCCTACCCTGGCGGTGGGTGGGGCCCTAAAATTAACAATAAGGGGGACCTATTGTCCCCCCCCGGCCCCCACCCCTGAGCGGTGGGTGGGGGCCCTAAAATTAACAATAAGGGGGGGACCTATTGTCCCCCCTGGCCCCCACCCCTGAGCGGTGGGTGGGGACCCTAGTCACCCCTCCCCCCAAAAAAATTTTTTTATCCCCCTACCTATCCCCCTCACCCTAAAAATAATGATTCCTGAGACAGGCATTAAATGATAGGCAGATTGCTGAAGAAATTCTACAATTTTTATGACAGCACTGGGTGAGTACGTCCACACAATAGAAAACTCCTATACACCCTCATGGCTTAAAATGGGCGCTGGGACTCTTGCGATGGGAAATCCAAGATGGCCATTGAAAAGCCTGCGAATCTGCCGTAAAAAACCCCAGAAAAAACCCATGAACAGCGTAAAGCCACGAATGCCGTAGTTCATGAACAACCTTCGTGGTGAAGATACAAACCCAATGGGAAAAATCCACCGAACACATATGACTGTTCGCATTAGATAAGTAGAGCGTGAGTGATAGGTGAACGCTGGTGCCCTCGAACAAGCAGCGAACACGAAGGAGGGAAATTCACCGAACGTATAACGAAATGTACGGAGGTTGAAACGGCCCGAACAGGCTAACGTTGCCACACGAACGTGTATGGCATGCAAACGCCTAATGGGAAGGAAAGCCTCACAGGCACTTTATGCTCACCGTTGTGGGTGTGCTGTGCCTCAAGGACTTTCCAAAGTGCCGAGCATAGTCACAGAGGTGCGGAAATATATATATTCAGTATAAGCCAGAAAATACCAAAACCAATGGAGAAAACTAGAGGGGAGGGAGGGAAGGGTAGGAAAAAGAAAGCCTAGTCCCTCAAGCAGCCAGAAGTAGGATGCAGGATATCCCCCAGCCCCCACAGAAGTAATACTTAAAACCATATAGCTGAAACACAGCAATAAAGTACAATAATAACACGCCAATGACAATGTGAGACCACATAATATTCTGATCTGACTTGTGATGGAGCAGCAAAGAAAGAGGAAATGCCTCAGTGGGAGGGGCTTGGTATGTACTATGCTTTTCTCTTATTAGTAATTTGTTTTTCTATGTACTTTGCTGCTAATGGAGTAGTAAAGATAGTTAATGCAAAATATGAAGCCTCCTGTCATGTGGAAAAATTAGAAGCCTCTGCAAGGTAGGTGCTCTGAGCAATTGTCTGTCACTTGAAATTAGTTCCACTGAGCTAACCAAACCAGGAAGTAACAGGACCAGTTGTTAGATTGACAGCCAGGGGTTGTAACCAGGTTAACTTAATAAAGTGTCAATTTCTATTGAAATCTGCACTTTTTGTAAAATGAAAAAAACGGCACATACTCTTCACGCATAAAGCTTATTAGCAAATTAAAGTGCTTTACGTGTTTTGAGTGTCCCTATAAAATGCAGGTTTAAAACAGCACTGAGGATTCTCACTGACATTGTGGGTCCATGGAACACTAGGCAAAACTACATTTCACCATGCAATTGGCTAGTAGCAAAGTTTAAATGTTCAGCCTTGGGCAGTGATACATTGGTGGGGAATACTGAATACAAGTCATTGGATCAGATGATTTGGACTGATAGTAAATATATTCTATTGTTGCGAAATTTCAGTATTTGATATATTTCAATAGGATCATTGTCGTAAATATAGATATGTTATTATATATTGTATGATTGTGCATCTAGCTAAATAGATCATCTTCATTATTTCTATGTTGGCTTCAACAAAAGTTTATACAACATGTTCTGTACACTTAATACACAAAGATACAATGAGCTTAAATAGTGCCATAAAAAAAGTGTTACAACAAAATCTGTCTAAATTACACTTTTTTGCCCAACTCTGAATACAAGTAGTACTTTTATAAACAAACAATGATTACTTTATAGAAGCAGAGAAAATACTTTCTATACACCTATTGTCCTTCACAGTTTATTATGTTTGGATTTCAGCCTTAACAAGATTGTGGCTAAGTCATAATTTATTAACTGTTCTATATTTAGTTTCAGAAAGGAATGAATAGATGCTGTGCAGACTTATCCACTTCATTAAACAAGGCATTTGGATATAGCATTAGGATAATAAAACCTTGATTTTCTAGAGGCATCAGGTGTTAGTGATTTATGGAAATGAAAAACACAATGAATCAGAAGCTCAAAACATGATTACCACTAACCACAATGCAGGATACGTTGGTTGTCGAGCATCAAGAGAAGAGAAGAACTTTAAAACTTTTAAGGGATTCTCCAGTGCCAATAAAACAAACCCGTTTTCCTGGCACTAGAGAGTCCTGGAGTGCCCCCCATCACACGTAGCTGAAAGGGTTAAAACCGATGTCCCTCTGCGCTGGGTCAGGCTCCGCCCACGCTCCTCCCCCACCGATGAGGGAGAACTAATACGCATGCGCAGCAATTATTTAATGCTTTCCTATGGGGATTCCGGTGACACTGCAGGTCCTCGTGCATAGCGTGAGGACGTCCAGCATCGTTTAGACAACCAAAAGCCGTCTGAGCACCTGGAGGAGGACTTAACCCTGCAAGGTAATTATTGCTGTTTATAAAAACTGCAATAATTACACTTGCAGGGTTAAGAGTGATGGGAGTTTTGTTTAAGACATCGGAGTGTTACTAAAAACCTCCAGTTATTTAAACGTGCACAATGATTTGAGATCTTTTTGGTTTCTGTTCTGTGTATTTGGGCTGGTGAATACTATAGGCATTGCTGCTATCCAAGAGTAGTGGGGGTTTAAGAGTAGGGCTTTTGTTTTGTGTTGGGAATAGCAGTTTTGTAACATCAATTTGCAATTCTGCAGTCTTTGTTTCTTCCTTGTAATAATAGTACATCTTAAAGGGACACTTTAGACACCCAGACCACTTTAGCTCATTGAATGCTCACCCAGTCTCCACTCCTTCAAAAAATCGTTAAAAACCCACTTCTTCATAAAAGCATATCAATTAAACTGTTAATAGCTCCTGACTGATTCCTCTTCTGCAACTGTCACTAGTCTAATACTATCCTTACCTTTTTGTGTCATTTTACCCCACTCCCTCTAGCATGTAAGCTCATTGAGCAGGGCCCTCCACCCCTCTGTACCTGTGTGTCCAACTTGTCTGGTTACAACTACATGTCTGTTTGTCCACCCATTGTAAAGCGCTGCAGAATTTGACGGCACTCTATAAATATCATAATAATAATAATAATAATAATAATAATAATAAATGCACTGTGCTTTTGAAAAGCATATTATTGGTGTTAAATATTCACGTTATTTCACCATTTGTTATAATTTTTTACCTTTCCTTGCCCTTTTTAAAATATTGTTTTTAATATCTGCAATCAACGTTTTACAAGTTATGTTGAATATCATATCAGTATTCATATATGACAATCTTCCCACACGTCACAATCGCTTTTAGTTCCTGTCCAAATGTGTCAGCCACTCCTTGTTCCTTCTAGCATACAGATCTCAATGTGCTCCTGCATTTACCCAACACAACGGAATCAGTTCTGTTAAAGTGGCGCAATAAACCGTATTTAATGGTCTATTTTTTTTTAATTATAGTTTTACCTGTGAGCAGAATGTACAGTACTTTGTGGTTACAATTTTATTGAAGTCATCATATAAAATAATCAAATACTTCAACCGGGTTGCATCTGTCGTACCATTATATATTGTGTAATAGATTCGCTATTTATGTAACATTCTGAAACCCAGACTAATAAACTTTCATCTTCACTCCTGGATGAGTTTAGTCACTCTTCCTTTTTCTGGCTTGCTTTGTTTTTTATTTATTGTAACTATAGCTACTTACAAAATTCCTAGAGCAGACTTTATTTCAATTATATTATTCATCATGGACTGGTACCAGAGTCAGCCCTGTGATTTCTCACTTATATGACATATTGGAGTTTGTTCTCTTTGCTGAGAATTTTAGCGAATTGGCAATGACTATTTTAGACACAATTGTCATTAACCCCTTCTTGCCATTACGGCATGCTGTACCACCCTACAAAAGGAGGGCTTAACGATCTGGGCCTCCCTCCACGCCAATCGCGATCGTGGACCTGCCTGACAACCCAGGCAGTCTTCCTGCCACCAATCCAGCTGATCCGAGTAATGAGATTGTGGTGACTGAACTATCACATGACTTGAATGGCAGGATTGGTTGCCTGGGTTGTTAGGCACGTCCCCAATATATAATTAATAAATGTATATATATATATATATATATATATATATATATATATATATATATAATTTAATTCTAAGTGCATGTACAGATTATTTATATATAATTATATTATTTTATGAATTGCACCTGCCTGACAGCCTAGCAGAAATTCCAGAGAATTTAAAATGCAAGCCCTATATTTGACCCTCTAACTTTCCAAAACCCCATGAAACCTGTACATGGTGGGTATTGTTGTACTCATGAGACTTTGCTGCACATATCTGACTATTTTAGAGCAGTAAAGAATATAATGGTGTTATCAGTGAAATTGCAGTTTTTGTTTGAAAAATGAAAACAAAAAAAAATATGAACTTGCCCTAAGCAGAGCCTGGGCTCCATACAATATTGAAAGCGCTATACCCAGTACTCACAGCACCCAACCCTGCAGGACTTGACCTAAGCAGATCCTGGGCCCCATACAATATTGAAACAACTACTGCCTCACTTGGCAAACTTATTGCCTCTTTTGGATTCCCCTTCCACCTGTACACTGATGGCATATCTCTCCTCCCCAGACCTCTCCCCAGACATAATTTCTTAATTTCTCACCCTTTTTTAAGATTTAATAATGCTTATTAAATTATGTTTCACATGGGGGCGTGGCTAACGGCCGACCGGGAAAGGCGCATGGAGTGAGAGCTCCCAGGCCGACGGACCCCAACAGCATAGACAGCCGTGACTGACTCACGAATCCCGGCCCTGCAGCACCCCATCGAGCAACGGGAGATCACATGGCGCCCTCCAAGCAGCTGAAAATTACGGACCCGATCAGGTCCGCTAAAAAAGACCACCTCCGCTCCAGCCAAGATGGCGACGGCAGCATGGCGACGGCCTCCAGTGCTGAAGATCAGCCAGACACAGGAGACCCCACAGGTCGCTACACAGACAACCCGGTGAGTGAGAGAAGTCTCTATACCATGCTACAAGAGCTCAGGGCTACCTTGCATGCAGACTTCCAGACAATGGTGACAGATTTTAAACAGGACTTGTCTGAGTTAGGAGACAGAACAGACAGACTGGAAGTCCGCACAGACGAAATATGTTCAGCTCACACTGACATGGAGGCTAAATTACAAGCTCTCAGTGAGGAACACAAGCAGCTAAAGAGGAAAATGGCGGACATAGAGGATCGCTCTAGGCGCAATAATGTCAGGTTTAGAGGCATCCCTGACAACGTCACACATGAGGCTCTGCCCGACTACATTAAAGGCTTATGCCAAGCCGTGCTGCCAGAGAGGGTCACTACGGAGTGGCAGCTGGACCGAGCACACCGACTGCCTAGACCACAACGCTTCACAGCAGACACCCCACGCGATGTAGTGGTCAGGTTCCACTATTACACAGCAAAAGATTCACTGCTGACTGCCGCGCGCAAACTCCCATCGCTACCTGAACCGTTCCAG